CAGACAGACAGGCAGACAGACAGGCAGGCAGACAGACAGGCAGACAGGCAGGCAGGCAGGCAGACAGACAGACAGGCAGGCAGGCAGGCAGACAGACAGACAGGTGTGTCCTCTCAGGTGGAGCTCAGCAGTCTATAGAGGTTTGAAGCTTCCAGAAACCAGCCCACCTCTCTACACTTCAGGATGTCGTTGTCCTGATTAACTTTACAGTTCAGTCCAATGGAAACCCACTGACTGTCACTGTGACAGAGGAAGGAACATCCTGGAAACATTGCTGTCAGAGATGATGTCACTGATGGGCTTACCTGAGCAGGTGAGATCCACGATGAAGGAAGAGGAAAATGATTTTAAACACTCTCTCAGAGCAGATCCAGACAGAACACAGTAAGAGTTGATCCACCACACAGATCTCTTTGAGGACGCCTTTCTCCTTCTGATAGAAACAGCAGAGCCACAGTCCAGATCTCTACAGGCAACATCTGCTCTCTTCAGGCTCCAGTTATAGTCATATACTGGTCTCCAGTCTCCCAGTTTCACCTCCAGTGTTCCTGCACAGCGACTGTCTCCTCCCACCAACCTGACAGGTTCTGAACAGAAACAAAAGAGTCGTCAGTAAAGAACAAAGTGAGTTTCAGTAGAACAGAAATGAAGCAGATCAAAGCTGCAGCTCCTCTTCTACCTGAGCAGGTGAGTCCAACAGCTTTGCCAGGTGAGCAGGTGTTTCTATCTGAGCCTGAGCTTCTACAGTCCAGGAGAGCAGACTCATTGCCTCCACACTGGAACTCTTTGGTCCACATTGGAGCCTCCACTTCTCCATAGAGCGCCCCCTGGAGGACTGAAGGAGCCCCACAGCCAAGCTCCCTACAGACCACCTCTGCATCCTGCTGGTCAAAGTCATCTTCACACACTGAGGACCACCACTGGTTAGACTGGTTAGACTGGTTAGACTGGTTGGACTTCACCTCCAGTCTGCCTGAGCACAGACTCGTCCCATTCACCAGCCTGACAGAGTCTGGAGAGATGATAGAAGATGAGAGACAAAGAGAGAAAAGACACCAGACACTAAATAACATTCTGTCTTATATTTCTCAGTAGATCTGTGACCCAGAATATCAATCTGTTTATAAAATGATCCCTAACATCTCAAAGAGATGGGGCTGGACTCTCTCCATAAGGAGGGTCCAGGCTGAAGGACGGTGTGGAGATACTGACGAGCCCCCGGCTGTGCTGAGCTGCTCTAAGTTGTGTCCAGTAGGTCTTTGGTGCCTGTTATGGTGTAAACCAAAGAAGCTGCTGGTGGAAACCAGTGAATAAGAAAGCTGTGGAGCTGAAGGAGGAGTCCTTTCAGGCTGCTTGGTGGTCGGCCCAGAGGACTCCTGGAGCAGCAGACATGGAGGTTTCATATATAAAGATATCTTGGTGCATTCAGCACCTGGTTTACTGAGGCAGCAGCTCATTAGACAAGTCTGCTGCCATTCTAACTGGTCCACCTGATACATTGCTGTCAGAGATGATGTCATTGATGGGCTTACCTGAGCAGATGAGATCCAGGACGGAGGAAGAGGAAGATGATGTTAAACAATCTCTCAGAGCAGATCTATACAGAACACAGTAAGAGTTGATCCTCCACACAGATCTCTCTGAGGTCTTCTTTCTCTGTCTGACAGAAACAGCAGAGCCACAGTCCAGAACTCTGCAGGCAACATCTGCTGTCTTCAGGCTCCAGTCAGAGTCATCTACTGGTCTCCAGTCTCCTTCATGTTTCATCTCCAGTGTTCCTGCACAGCGACTGTCTCCTCCCACCAACCTGACAGATTCTGAACAGAAACAAGAGAGTCGTCAGTAAAGAAATAAATGTAATTAATAATGTAAACTAAACCTTGAGTGCTGATTCTGCTTCATTGGTTCTTTATTTCTCTATTTACCTGTTGATGTGTGATTTCCTTCAGCCTGGAGTTCTGGAGAAATAGACACATATTTGTTGTTTTAAGTAAATGTAAAAAAAATACACAAATATTTGTTTTTAAATGTATTTGCAATTTTCATCAAAACTTATTGTGATGTTGTTACATGTATATTCAGACAGTTGAACCGGCATTTAAAAACAGGACTGTTTGTTAGTCTCCTTCCTTTTCAGCCAATCACAGAAGAGTGGATCAAAGGGTCATATTTGTTATGACAACAAGACA